GGCAGGCACCTACAAACCCCTTTTTGGGGGGTACAACCCCCCCCATCCCCAACCACGACAGGGACACCTCCCCCACCACAGCCCCCTAAAAATAATCCCACCATGGGGGGGGCTGTCACCACCACTTCCCACCTCTTTTATTACAGTCGAGCGCTACAAACCGGGGTGGGGGGGACACCCCACAACACCCCCCTCCCCAGCAACCCCCCCTGCTAGCCCGAAGGAAAAGCCTTGATGACCTTGACATCGTCGAGGGGCCTGTCCTGGGCGTTGGTCTCCACCATGGCCAGGCGGCCCAGCACCCCCATCCCCTGGCAGACCCTCCCGAAGATGCTGTGCTTCCCATCCAGCCACTGCGCCGGGCCCAGTGTCAGGAAAAACTGGCTGCCATTGGTGTCCGGCCCCGCGTTGGCCATGGCCAGGATGCCGGCGCCTGGGATGGACGGACAGACAGACATCATTAATGTTCTGCTTTTGAGGGGAGGATGCGTTTGAGCTGGTATCATGGGAGATATGTCACCCCACGGGTGGGGTTCTGGGGAACATGGGAGATGTATTACCCCATGGCTGGGGTCCTGGTATCATGGGGGACATGCCACCCCATGGCTGGGGTCTTAGGGGACATGCCACCCCATGGCCAAGGTTCTAACATCATGGGGGACATGCCACCCCATGGCCAGGGTCCTGGGTTTCCTGGGGGACATGTCACCCCATGGATGGGGTCCTGGGGGACATGCCAACCTGTGGCCAAGGTGCTGGGTCACATGCCACCCCATGGCTGGGGTCCTGGGGGACATGTCATACCCATGGCCAGCTTCCTTGGGACATGCCACCTCATGGCCAGGCTTCTGGGGGACATGGGAGACATGCCAATCCCATGGGTGGGGTCTTGGGGGACATGCCACCCCATGGCCAAGGTTCTGCATCATGGGGGACATGTCACCCCATGGTCAGGGTCCTGGGGGTTGTGCCACCCCATGGGTGGGGTCCTGGGGGTCTCGGGGCACATGTCACCCCAGGGTGGGGTCCTGGTGGACATGCCACCCAACGGAGGGGGGGGTTGACCTCCTGGTGATGGTTTCTGCTCACCAGTGAACTTCAGCTCGGGGTGCAGCTCATCCTCAAACTGTTTGCCATAGATGGAGGCACCGCCGCGGCCTGGGGAGCGGGTGAGGGGGGGTCAGCCGGGACCTCTCCCTGTCCCCAGCACAGGAGGGGACACATCGAGGGGGTGTCTCTCACCGGTGCCGGTGGGGTCCCCCCCCTGCACCATGAAGTCCTTGATGACACGGTGGAACTTGGTGCCGTTGTAGTAGCCGCGGCGGCAGAGCTCGGCGAAATTCTTGCAGGTGCGGGGGGCATGTTTCCAGTACAGCTCCAGCACCAGCGGGCCCATCCTGCCGCCACACCGGCACC